TACACAAGCACATGTGAATGTGGTCAGTGCCTACACTGAAACATCAACAGCCTACAAAGCACACACACACACTATGCTCACGTTTCATGTACCTGCTGTACGACACTAGCTGTGTGAGTGTGTGCTGAGTGCAGTCGTGAACACAGCACCAGCACACACCATGTGTGCGTGGCGAACACGCACATGTACGTGGCATCGTTTGTGCGAGCGACTCACGTGACAAGTGCGAGGACTTCTACCCGGAAACTATCAATGCAAACATGACCTAGCTCATAGTGCGTAATATCATTCTTCAACATTAACATCAAATTCATGTACAGACAGTGCTAAACATCAGCGAATGAGCATAAACCCAGTACTAGACACAACGCACATCACACCACACCAACAAACCACACAATACCAAACAATCGACTTATCATGTGTACGTGCGTGCGTAAACAAAATTTATCTCATTTGTGCTGACCACATGTGACTCGCATTCTTTACTCATCTGACCGTGCGGGTGATAGACAGCGGGCGACTCGACATGCAGCGCACCACGCACCTATCACGGCAACACGCACACACACAGCGAACACGACTCGTGGACACACCACCACAACCACCCAAGCCAGCGACACACACACAGGGGTAGTTAGTGTGCTTGCTTGAGGTAAACGACCCATCTTAGCTCGCCACGTGCAGAAAGTGCCAAGGACGCCCTGGGGAACACCAGGGTGCTGCTGCGTCGCTCCCCTCTCCGTCTCGTGCGTTCTCAATCTTATCCGTCTTATCCTCTCATCTCTCCTCTCTCTCTACCTCTCTCCTCCTCTCTCTGCTCTTCTCCTTCACTCTCTCCTCGTTCTGCTTTCTACTCTTCCGTGTGCTCGTATCTCTATTCGTCCTTCGTCTCTCTTCTTCTCCTGTCGTGTAAGTGGTGCTTTCTGCTATGTTTATTAATTTGTTCTCTTCTAGAAGTTTATAGACATGCTTTTTCATCTCCTCTGTGCTTTTCTGTCTTGTCTGTACTCTTCTTCTCTTCTTCTTTCATCTCTTCTTCTTTCAATCTCTCTTCTGTGCTCTCATAGTCAGTGTAAAAGAGGACAGTTGCTGTAAAACTTTAACACTTAACATGTACATTATTTATCAACCACCAAAGGACATGAGGTGAGTCACAACAGTATACTCCTGAATTGTTACATTGTCTGTAGACTTATAGCAATCCGTCTTTACTTCACATCCTTACACTGATTTCGTACGTGTACTTATTGGCCTCTTTGTGCAATGTTTGTTGAAAATTCTATTCATTTCCATTTTATTAAAGCCACTTTAGTCCGTGTCTATAAATTTATGTAAGATTTTCCCAATATATGTGTTCTTGATTTACTTTTCACAATTCAGGTTAGAACAGTAGTATAGGATCAGTTTTAAACTAGGATTTTTTTTTTGTTTTGTTTAAAGAAAATGCACTAGGATTTTGTAGAATTCAAACATTTTGACCTTTTTTTAAATTTAGAGATTGTATTATAACCAAGCACCACTATGAAAAATTCTGTACATATATGACAGTTTTCTTTATTTATCTGCCATGGTGTGAGTGGAGACCTTTTATTCTTGACATTTTTGGCATTTGATAAAAAAAGAGTTATATTCAGGTGGACACAACAGTATACCGAGTAGTGCTCAAGATAAAAATATATGCAAACCTTGATCAATATAAAGGGTTAGACAAACTTCAGATTACTGAAAATATTTTGCCAAGGTAATAAATACTGAAACCAACACACTGTTTATAACGTCAAAACACAAACTACGGTAAAAGGCTCAATTTTAAATTTTGTGGTTTGATTTTTGAAAGCTCCACAGAACCCATGAGAAGAGTAAGTATCATGTGCATGAAATGTTCCCTATAGTTTATATTTACCTTATGTTGCTAAACCTTGTGGAACAGTCTGTTCAGCTGAACACATCTAAAAGGTTGTAGTAGTTGCAGATCAGCAACCTATAGCTTGTAATTGAATGCTTTATTGACACTTCAAATGCTTGATATTTCAAGTACCTTACTCATTGTGACGTCAGCATAAAGTATTGTGGATCACCAGAACTGCAACACAGACTCACCTCTTTTGTTTTGCATCAGAGGGTATACTTGTCTGTAATTGTGTGTTAGCATATCTGTGTATTTCACTTGTTGAAAGTGTAATAACTATTCTCAAATGCCAACACGTACAGTAAACCTTAAAATGTTTTATTGGTACATCAGTGTACAGTTACACTAAAATGTAATATATCCAAGAGATAGGCAAAGAGTAGACCAACTGTATTTTCCTCTTTGAAAAAAGAAAAGAAAAAATGTTTATTGAGTAAACTAACATTGATATAATTTCATGTCTCTGCAAGGAACTCATGTAGAAGGGGTATCAAAAGTTGAATACAGTGTTTTCATCAGTGTTTAGATGTGATTTCTACATGCCAACCCTACATGCCAGTTGATGTTGCTTTGGAGGGCAACGTCTCATTCACCTCTTCGGTTTATTTCTATATACAGTTTTTGGGCTGGCATGCTTCATTTTTTGTATGCTAAGTCTGTGTCGTTATTGTTCCTTTTTTTCATTTTTATTTTTATTTGCATGCTGACATGTAGAAATACATATATGTTGTTGAATTGGGAATTGATTAAATTTGGTGATGGAAAAAAATATGTTTGCTCATTTGTTAAGCTTTCAAGATACATGGATTTTTTAATGTATATTGCCATTCCTTTTTTAATCACAGTTGTCCCATATATCTTTGGAAAGAATTATGAAAACATAATACATGTTATGAATTGATTTTTACCCTTGTGAGATTGGCATTTTTTATTTTTTATTTTTTTTCTTCATCATATATATTTTTTCTTAAAGCTTTGCTGGAATGTAAATTTTTCTTGTATTATAAGTGACTGGGTTATTTTCATTCTTAAAACAAATTTTATTAAGACTAAAATATACATTTTATCAAAAATTGTTTTGAATGGAATACTAATTTTACTTCATTATAGGGTTGGCATGTATTTGAATAATAATATATTAAAATGTGTTCTATAATTGTACAGTTTCCTACATCTTCATTTCCTCTTCTTGCTCTTGAATTCAGTATTTTTTTCATTGCAATGGGGTTGTTGTTGTGTAAAGTACAGTTTTAAGAATAGTTACATGTTGCTTTGAGATGTTTGCACTAGATATATTTTGATTTGCTTTGTAGGGTGAATGGAGTGTGTCTCTACCACCGGGAACGTTGGTGAAGGTCCTGGCAGACTTCACGGCCTTAAGGGAGGATGAAATCTCAGTCAACAGAGGCGAAGTTATACAGGTATGTCCTCCCTGAAAGTGAAGGGTGTGCATATTGTTAAGTCAGAACTTTTGATACTTTGTTTCTTACTACCATTTAGTTTAAAGGTTTTAAATCTGCTTTGCCTCTAATTAGTTGTTTATTAAGAATGGAGGAAGTACTGGGATGGACTCAAGCAATTTCTCTTTTCAGGTGATTTCATCAAATGCTCTTCGTGGTTACCTGGTTCACAGAGCAGCCACCAGCAACAGTCCAGCAGCTGAGGGTTGGGTTGCTGCCAATGTTCTGCTTCCTTCGGCACACCCAGATGCCCAGACAACCCCTCCAGCATCACCCACGCACGTCCCTGCCCAGTATGAGCCTCTGGGCAAAAGACAGTGGATGAAATTCCGAAAGCCATCCTTCTCTAAGAGAGATACCAAAGATACCCATCCTCCCCCACTCAGACGAGAGGAGACAGTCCATGAACTCCCAAGCATGCGGTCCCTCACATCTCGGCCTCCATTGCCTACCCGTCAGATGACAGTGTCGCTCATTAATCCTTATCATACGGAAAACAGTAGTGATATTAATAATCGTGTATCAGCTCGAGATAAACCTCCTAGTGGATGTGTGCCAGCATCACCTGAATCTCCAGTCAGAATAATATCGCCTCTGCGAAATGTGACTGTTTGTCCTGGAGAACCTGCAGAAATGGTGTGCACAATCACGGGTGCTGGTCTCTGGGCAGAATCAACCACAGTGGCTTGGGCTGGCCCTCACGGGCCATTGGTTGACCCACGCTTTGAGATGGAACAGCACCGAGATGGAACTCTGAGGCTCCATGTTGGAAGTTGTCGTGTTACAGATGCTGGTGAATACACCTGCACCATCACCTGTGGAGGGTATTCCATCGCCTGTTCTGCCCGCATCAATCTGTCCCAGGGTAAGGACCATAGCTATTCTAACGGCCATTCCTAGAAATAGGAGTACTGGATTTGTGCTGGTGTTGGCTGAATTGACTGTATCTTGGAACTCACCATTTTATTTCAATAAAATCTAAAATTTCCTCCAGAACCAGCAATCATGCAGATGGTGTTCAAGAAACTTTTTATTTTCCTATCTTCCTGATATTGTTTGTATCTTAATATCTTGAAATGGAAGTTAATGAATAATCAGCAGGAATGAGAAAAACGTTCTGCAAGATGTTGGGTGAAGTTAATAAGGTAGTTAAACATGCTTACTGGCAGTAGAGCTAACCCAAGTGGTTAAGTGTCAAAGCAGCAAAGATAGTAGTGTGTGAAGTGATGAAAGATACCTTAGCTCTGTATGTTATACTAAATGCGTTTCATGACAGCATGAGAGACATTTAAAGTCCAAGTATTTCAAGTTTACTATAGAGATCCTAAAGTCTTTTCAGCAGATATGATAATCATAAGCTTTGTCTGTTGTATGTTAGAGAGAGCAACTGTACACTGTATTGTCTTTTTATAATGTAAAACTGTATTATTTAGTGTTGAATTTGTCACAGTTTCTCCCAAAAATATATCTTTTAGAAGTAAATTAGTGACAGTAATTCCTATGGAATTAACGTGACTGTAGATAAGATGTAAATGGTTATGTTGTTATAAGAATGTATTTTTTATAGGTTATGCTGACCTCCATTCATTGTGAGTCGTGATTTGATTCCAATAATGATTGCATGATAT